ATTGAAGCAAAAGAAAAACTTTTTTGACGACGTACGTTGACAGGGCCAAGGGAAATTTGCCTTCATTTGCCAGCTAGGGAATAACTACACACTCACACACGCACATCAAACACAAACGACAAGCTTTTGTATGTGTTTAAGCGACTTACAATTTCGCCTCATTGCCAAATCTAACAAAATTGCGACTTTGTTGCTTCTGCAATTCGCGTTTGGCTGTGCAGAAGTCACACCCACACCCACAACCAAGCCCCTTCTCTTCCTGTTTTCCCTCGATTTTTCTCGTCTATGTCGACAAACATATATAGCGCCAGCAATTTGGCTTGACAACTTTTCGTACCGTAGCGATACAAGCAATTTGTCTCGGGTTAAATTTGCCAAATTGTCGCAATTATCATTTTGCCTTTTGTGCGCATCTTTCTTTTGGCCTTATTCACTTCTTCTGCTCGCGTACTTCTTCGCATTCGGGCCAACATGCTTTAGCAGTTAGCTAATGAGCCACGATTCGTGTGTCCTGCACTAATGCTCATTCGCCTTCAAAAGTATGCAACGAAATTTTTCACAAATTTAAAGTCAATGCATGAGTAGAGTTACGCTTTAAGCAGCCCCCTCCCCAGGGGAGATGGGTGCCTCTTGGGGTATGGACGACGTGGTTTATATAGACGCTGCTGCACTTCCCTTTCCGCTGCGGCGCCTGAGCAAAGTTTGTTAGCTAGGAAATGGCAAAGGGGCGTGGGCTGTATGTAGTCTGCTTTATGCTATAAGTCAAGTTCTCTTCCGGCCTGGCAGTTGCTCTCGATGACGATGACGACGATGATGATGATGATGATGCTGCAGTTGCTGGCGCTGACAATGAAGATGACGAACTAAAGACAACATGTCGCAAGATTGCAATAGAATGCTAAACAGAGCGAGATACTCTGTTTAAAGAGGGAAGAGTCGATAAGTTATATGCTAAGGCTATATGTAACTGTGAATGTCGACTGAAGCTGACCTCTCTACCTCTAAGTCCAGTTCTAGCTCTCGCTCGAACTTCTAGCTCTAGATCTTCACATCTAACTTTTGCTCTCTAACATTAACTCTATAGTTCTAGCCGTCAAGCATTAATTTATAGCTCAAGCCCTAAAGCTCTAACTTTATAGATCAGAGCTAGAGAGCTGGATCAGCTCTTTAGCTGTCTAGCTGTCTACCTCTCTAGAATTAGCTCTCTATCTGTAGCTTTCAGCTGTACCATTAAGATCCAGCTCTCTAGCTCTCTAACTCTCTGCCTCTAGCTCTAGTTGCCTACCTCTCCAACTCTATCTGCTTGCTCAATCTCTAGCTATAACATAGACTCTTCAGGTAGCCACAGCTGAACTTGCTCACCTATACACCCTTTTTCTTGCACTCCATAAACAGAGTATGATGAAAAAAAAACTGGCAATGCCGCTAGCTAAAAACGAGACGACGTGCACAACATCTTTCAACACTTTTTATATGCAACTATTTTGCATATGCCAAACACGCACACACATACGCACGAAGACACACACTCACAGTAAGGCGCTTTTCCTGCGGTTTTAATGTCTGTGTCTGTGTGTGTGTGTGTGTGGTTGAGGTGGTTGGTATATTGATGTTTGCTGCGCTGACTTAAGCATTGGCGCTCGCACATTTCAACGCTTCGTCGTAACTGATATCGCATGTACATATATCTTCAATACATGTATATATATGTGCATGTATGTGTGTATATACATATATCTTACACATATCTTTAGCCACACGTTGGGCCGCCATTAAGGTCGTCCATTTCAGTGGGAAAGCTTTGCTTGCTTACGGCTTACTGCTTCTTCTTCTTCGGCTGCTGCTGCTGCGGCTACCATTTAACCATCATCATCGTCATTTCTCAACCTCCAACTACATTGTCGTCTGCCATGATATGAGGGCTATCTAAATGTGTGCGTGCGTGTGTATGTGTGCGTGTGTTTTAGTGTTGATAAGAAAGCAAACGCTATGATAAACAAGTTGCTGCTGTTTTTTATACCCCGTAGCCATTGAAAACGCTTAAGAAATGGCATATTGATGCTGAGACTTAATATGTGATAGGTGAAGAGAAAGTATATGACGCACAGATCTTTGCTGTTTCAGCTATGTGGAAATCTTTGAAGGAATTATCTCTTGCATCTTATAATTTACATCTTTCATTTCAGAACTTTATATAACTTTATTCTAGTCGCGCATATCCTTCACTAGACCTTGGCTATTCTTAGCTCCTGTTAGTGTTGTGTTATTGAAACTACCGCAATAGACGAGTATCAAGCTGTAGTCGAAGAAGAAGCAACACAAGTGCAAATTTGAAAGGTTTTTGACATTGCCGCAACGCAATACCCCTCTCTACAGCCCATCCTACTTACTTCTCGCTCGCCCTCTCCAGCCCAGCCATTATCTGTTACAGCTTATGCTTTTGTTTTTGAAGTTTACTTTGCTGTTTACTTTGCTGCTCTTAGTTTATGTGAAGCACGTCTGGGCAAGTCTTTAAGCCATTTCACAGTGGACCATAACGAAAATGCACTTTACACAGATTTTATAAGGCGGAAAGGAAGAAGGAGGTGTGGCGCAGCAAAAATGACGTTTCATGGCACGAAAACAAGTGAAAGAAAAAAAAAAGTTTGGCATATCAAAAATTATTAGCAATTTAATGCACGACTAGTCAAGGAGCCACAGGACACAGCAGTCAAGCAGCAGCCAAACAGCAGCAGCAGCAACTCTAGCAGCAGGAGTAGCAGCTCAGCTGAAAATGTCCTGTCCAAGCATTACACTTCGTTCACTTTACTTCACATTTGCTCGTCTCACAGGAGGCAGCTTGCCGCGCGGCAAGCTCTCGATTTTGTGGCAAGTTTCACTGACGCCAGACGCAATAACAGTTGCCCAGCTACATAGCTTGACTAGGTGAAGCAAAGGCAAACAAAGGGTGGGTATGGCAGATGGTAATGGAAGCCAGACCTTCCACACTTGCATGGATATGTTAAAAACAACATGTTTTCCACTTCCACTTCATACCCTTTTGTCCACTTGGGGTAGCTCTGCGAAGCAATACACGCAGGAACTATAAAAACTATTAATTAAAGTATGCATATGTAAAGTAGAGTCCTTTTGCAAAGAACTTCCGTTAATTAAACAGAATTAACATACAAAAATGTTTTATGATGTGTTAATAGCTCAACTTTGAGGTTTCAAACCCATAAAACTACAACTTTATGATGCCCTACTGAAATTAAAACATGTAAGCCGTCGGCTGCTGCAATATAGAGACTTTGTCGTATTACAAATTATATTCCCTGAATTACCATGCTCCTAGTGGGCGTTTCATAGTCACTCTTGATTTATTTGTTGTTCAATTGAATATACTAAGTTGTCAACTAAATATGCTCTTCTTTTTGGTTTTCTTTAGTATTTTCTTCTACCTTTCCTCTTCTACTCTTAATTTTCGTATACTTGATTCCTTAGATTATGCTCTGCCATTGAAATTGCATCACATTTGCGGTTTAGTTAGGGTATCTCTGGATGCACTTTGTGGCATTCTAGTTGGAATCAGCTATTTTCGTGTTGTTTTGTGCAGCAGCAGCAATTTTGTGTGAGTGTGTGTGTCTTTTTTTTTTTTTGCTTTTTCAGTAGTTGTTGTTGTACGTTTGTTATTGTTGTTGCTTGTTGTCGACGTCATCTGCTGCTGCTGCTGTCTGCCACCAAAGTCGTCGCCGTCGCCGTTTTTGTCGTTGTCGTTCTCGTTGTTGTCTGTCCCACATTTGGTTTCATCCGTCGAGGCATCCACGTCTGTTCCATGTCTGTGCATCTAATTTAAAATTATGCAACGAATTTTTTTGCTATTTTTATTTTGTTACTGCTGTTGCTGCTACTGTGCAAGGCTGGTTTTTTCGCTCAGTTCACTCATTGACTCTCGAGTTGTTGTTTTAGTTGTTGCTGCTGCTGTTTTGGGGTCACGCGTTGCAAGCCCCAAACAACGGTAATAAATCATCAGCAGCCCGCGAGGCAGCCAATAGAACAGCGCTTTCCACTCTCTATCTCTCCCTCTCTCTTTGTCGCCCGCTCTCTACCTCTCGCTCTCTCCCGTCTCTGATTTTTGCGGCTGTTGTTTTTCATTCGCATCGTTATCACTGACTGCTGCAATCGACAGCAGCAATCCCTCTCTCTCTCTCTCTCTTTCTCCCTCTCCCACCTCCCTCTCTCTTCTCTCTTGCATCGCGCACACAAAAAAAGACATTAATCAATTCTCGCATAGAACGTCTGTTCTATGCTAGTCGCCGGTCTTTCAGCCAGGCCTCGCATATATTTATCCATTGTGCGCAAAAAAGCACCGTTACACGCTTGGCAGCTTTTATTTTTTTTCGCTGGCTGGGAATTCCCCCTTTTACACATTTTTGCACACATTTTGTGCAACGCGCGTGAAAATTCGTCCTTAGCAAAGCAAGAAAAATAAAAAGACAAAATAAAAACAAAAATAAAAACTGTTTATGCTGCAAATATTTATGAGCCAACCGCTGTCGCTGCGAGCGTCGACTGCGACCGCGACGCTGGCCGGGCACATTTATTTCCATTTATTTACCGTGCGATAAATATTTGGCCATAAATTTTGGGACATAAATCGCAAAACGCAAATCCTTTATACTTTTTATATTCGCTTAATTTTTGAAAAACGAAAAATTAATTCGTGCATTTTCAATGAAAGTCCAGACGAAATGGATTGCAAAATAATGCATAATAAGCATTGAGCTTAAAGTGAAATAAAAATTGAATTATTTTAAATTGGAAAAAATAAATTGCGTACAAGCACTTTGACGACTAGCAGATACCCTCTGCGCACTGGGCATAGTTAAATTTGTATATAAAATATCTGATAAATTCAATTGTAAATATAGCAGTATTTTACAGTAACAAAAACAATTATAAAATAAATTACAATTATAATAATAGTTATTAAACTCATTAATACAAATTTTTCCTTGCAGATACAACAAACACGAAAATGACATTAAAATGGCGTCAAAAATACAAAAGCAGAAAAAGGCCAAAGAAACTGAAACAACGAACCACAACAACAAACACAAATATTGCAACAAACACTGCCGCAACTGCAAAACACTTCAGACTGAGCGTGGATGGGGTTAAAGGGCAGTTAAATGAGCGCCACATAACTGTCACACAAATGTTTCAAATGCCAGCAACAACAATTGCAACACAATGTCATGCAATTAAGGCTTCCAGTCAAAGTCAACGTCAACCTAAACATCAACGTCAACGCCGCAGTCAGCGACACGTAAATGCAACGTCAACGTCGACGCTGACGCTGCTGCTGGCACTGGCAGCAGTTGCCACAACAACAGCAGCAGCAGCTGCGGCCGCAACAGCAGCAGCCGTTGCAGTTGCCGCCGCATCCACATCAAACGCTGCCAAACCTGCCAATTTGTCTGGCTATGGTTCCAGCTCCGGTTCCGGTTCCAGTTCCGGAACGGGCTGTTCACTCGCCGAGTTTAGCTGCTCGAATGGACGTTGCGTTCCGCTCAGCAAATTCTGCAACAACAACAACGATTGCGGCGATGGCAGCGATGAGCCGCGCTTCTGCACACGTAAGTTCTACGCCAAACGAGGGGCGAGCATGGGGCATGGGGGTGTGGTAACTGGTGTTGCCAGCAATTATGCAAAGCTGTCATAAGAGATTAGCCGTGCAGGCAACAGGAAACTCTGCGCTGCGCTGCTGTTTGCTTAATTTACAGGGCACACAGGTGCAAAAAGGTGGGCAGCAAAAACGAAATTAAACCGAACGAATGGAGCAGGCAATCAACCTTTTTTATACTCTTTCATGCCGCGAAATTAAATCGCAGCTACATTGAGAGAAAATCCCATTAAAAAGCAGGCTTTTAAAAAAAAGACACTAAACGAAAAAATTAAAAGTGAGTGAAATCAAAGAGATTGACTCAGAGCTAATTCAATCTAGTTTCTTTATATTTTTATTTGTATACAATACACAAATTTAAGTTAAATTTAATACGCTTTAAAATTTTAATTTGATTCGACTGCATTTTACGCACAAGCAAATAAAACGTTGCTATCTCGCTCACTCATGTTCGCCCCCTACATCAATCCATACATTCCAGCCTGTCAGCCCGCACAATTTCTTAGTCTCCTGCACTTCCATTCTTTGCCTCTCTCCTCGCTCAAGCTGTCAAATTTATAATTCGATACTTCCATCCTGCTCGATCTTCTTTAGCTTCACACGCTTTCCAATCGACAAGATTTGTCATGCACACACTTCCATAATGCTTCGCCGCAGTGTAGCGAGCAGCCATTATTCTCTCACTCTCTTAACGTTCGTCTGCCATGCAACCCAGCTAGCATGTGTAAATGTAATTAAGCACTCGCACACATACACACACTCACAGCCACACACTCTCTCCCATTCACATTCACACTCGAACAGAAAGGCCCTCATAATGGCGGCAAAGTGAACTTCTCACTTTACCAATTGGCTGCCCATTGGAGCCGTGTGCCCAGTCATGAAGGGATCAGGAGCAGGAGGCATGTCATGTCAAGCGTTGATGAATTTAATTAAGTATTTTCAATGACGTTCAATGCGCGAGAGGATCAGAGCAGAGTAAATGCAAAACGTAATAACAAAAAATAACGGCATTTAATTGAAAAATGAACACCCATTGATGGATAAGTGCGCAGTCAAGCCATCAATATATAGGTTGAAAGCAAAATGCTAAATCGAAATAACTGTTGTTACTGGAAAGCAATTGCTTTATGGCCGCATGTGCTGCTGCAAATGTACACACACATATGTATATACATATATGTATGTATGTGTGTGTGTGTGGGTATGCTCATACTCTATGGGCATTCGCATTAGAAGCATAATTATCTAATTGTGTATTGATAACCACTCGACTGCCTGTCGAATTTGATTGAATGCAGCAGCCACAACAACAGCAATGACAGCAACAACAACAACGACAGGTGCACAGGTGCCACAGCCAAATTGAATAGAAATCCGTTTTACTCAATTGTCTACACCAGCCCCATAAATTTCTAATAATACTAATTGAAAAGTCTACAATATGCTGTGACAATTGCCATAACAAATTGAAATTCAAATTCAAATTGCTTTTAGGCTTTTTCCACATCAAATGAAATCTCATGAGATTTGCATTCCAATTGAATGGCCAAACGGTAAATGCATTGGAAGGAAGATGGTGTAAATGAAAAAATGGCAAACATTTTGTTCTTGCACTCACCTCATACATATTTTACACTTGATGGCTGCTGACAATAGATAAAACACTCACAAACACTGCACTGATGAAAAACACTTAAAAAAAAAAAGGAAATACACACTAAAGAAAAACTGGTTAGAAATTCACATTTTAAAGCAGCGCGAACGACCGATAAGCAACAGATTGCGGATATTTCTGCGATAGGAGTTGCCAGATTGTTGAACTATTTACTAATGCGATTAATTGGTATTTAATACAAATAGTATATGTATATACGATGTGTAAATGATATCGATAGCAGCAGTAATTAGTAATGAAGTCTTTAAATAGTAAATTAAGCTATTAAATGAAAGTTCATTAATTAGCAATTATTAATGAACTAATTATAACAAAAATAATAAAAATCTAGATAATTGATGTGATATGCCTAATTACCTGTTTATAGCGTGCTGCTTGACATGTAATGCTCTGCAGTTAATTTGCCCTCAAGTCGCAGTTGAGCTACTGTTAACTTAACAGACAATTAACACTTTGCCTTTAGTAACGGCACCTAATTTGAAGAGGCGCTTCATAAACGTCGCTATTGCCAATTAAAGGTGTCTAGGCTAAGGGTACTGGGTACATTACGCTCAGGGGTTGTTTTGACAGCAAATAAACAATGAACAGCAAACAACAACAGCAACATACATAATTGCTCGTCTAAAGCTAATTACCCTTAACATCGTTTTTGATGAGCTGCTAACAATTATGATTTCCTCTTTCTACTCTTTCTTCTTCTTCTTCTTCTTCGTCTTTCAGGTTGTAATCGCACCTACTATGGAGACATTGGACAGACTTACTCCTTGGAGCTGCATCGGCCCAAACAGGATCGTGTGCCCTTTGTCTGTGTGCTTACGTTCACGGCAGCGGGCGGACAGCACGGCGATGTAGTACAGGTGAGCTGGCATCTACCTACGTACCCACCCGGCCTTTCACAATTCATTTGCCAACTGGGATAAACTAAGCCATTAAAAAGATAAGCCAAGGCAACAACACCCCTTGATATTGATTTCAAAGCCCAGCAAATCCCAATCCCAAAAGGCGTGCAGCAAACGAAGCGTAACTCCAACTGACAGCGTAGTCGTATATACCCATCTCCTGTCCCCCTCCTGCACCTACTCCACCTGTACCTGCTTCACGTGCTGCATGCGCTACTTCGCGTAGGGACTGCTCTTCACAGAGGAAACTCACCCAGTTAGTTATTACGCCACTTCACACCTTTGCTTGTGGGCGGCTGAGGGCGATGGGGGCGTGCTGAGGTACTTGGCCAACGGCTTTGGCACGCTCGAATGCCTTCTGAGAGCATCCTGAAAGTCAGCTAGCCAGGGCAACCAACCAGCCAACCAGTTCACTGATGTACGAAGCTGGCCAAAACTTTATTAGGGCAGACAGCTCTCTCTCTCTCTCTCTCTCTTTCTTCAGATGCCCTAGAGTGGCAATGTATACTACTAAGGGGTATGCTGCAGTTGAGATCTGTACAATTGAATATTTTTGAGTACAGCAGAGTAGTCGAATCGTCGTATTAGAAGTTGGTTTTAATTAATTTCCCTGCATTTCCCACCTTTCCTTCTGTTGCTCGACTTTAGGTTACCCTGGACAGCTTTACGATTGGCCGCTTCACCAGCTACGTGCACGAGGGCTGCCCCGACGGCTATATGCAGATAGCAGAGTCCGCGCGGACCCCAATCGGTGGCATGTGGTGCGGCAGTTCGTGGGGACCAGTTTTATTCTACAGCGAAACGCGCTCGCTAATATTCACCATCAAGCTAAACAGGTGAGTTAATCTAACCCATCTTCCCTTGAGGAGTATTAATGAGTATTTGTTGTCTGTCTTGACTGCCCCCTTAAGGTTGGCTCGGGATCAAAGCGGATACAACTTCGATTTTCGTATTAGGTACAAGGTGCTCTCAAAGGATAGCTCGGTGACGCGCTACGGCGGCATTAAGCTGGCAGGTAAGTCCTTGTAAGAAAAGAGGGTATTTCCATAAACCAAACTCATTCTTCTTCTTCTACTCTTTCTCTCTCTTTCTGTCTCTCTTTCAGAGCTCAGCCAGTGGCACAATCGCAGCAGCTTTCTCAATCCCCAACAGCAACAGGCTCAAGCCTCCGGCTCAGTCTTGGAGGACTTTACAAATTCCAGCGGCGCTCGCTCTGATCGCTATGGCCAGGACTTTAGTCTGTTTAGCGCCTACGCGAATAACAAGACATTCATGGACTCTCTGGAGAAGCCGCTGCCCAAGGACGAGCACAACTACACAGAACCCAAATATTATCTGGGTAAGCGGATTTTGAATCACATCTCTCAAGTCTCCTCGCTTATATCGAAATCTTCTTTCAGGTGATCTTATACCAGGCACCTACTGCTCGCGCATCTTCAGCGACTGCGACAAGAAGCCCTGCCGCCTGCAGTCACCCAACTATCCGGGCATCTATCCGCGCAATCTCACCTGCTATTATGCAGTGCGACAGGTAGGTCAAACAGAGGCATACTCTTGAGTTTGTTAAGGTTAAGCTATTGGTGTGCTTGACATTTCTTTTATCTACTGCAGATCTTCTGTAAATTTCCCTTAGCAAAAACCTTAACATTTCCTATTCAACCCTTGAATTTTTCCTCATTCCTCTTCCCTCTTGTCTTTCTACCCACGAACTTCAGCCAAGTTATCTTAGTCTTCCCAACAACGAGTAATTTTATCCTCTACGTTTCTTTACCCTCTCTATTCAACGTTCTCTTAACATTAGCAATTTTTGCAACCTCTTTTCCTTTCTTCGTACAGATGTTTCTTTTCCCCAAGTTTTCTTGTAAGAACCTTGAGCCCCTTCGCTTTAACAAGCAATCTTATATTGTAGCTTACACCTCTAACTCCCATTAAGGGCTTTCCCCTCTCTCTTTGCTCTGCTGACCTACCTCAGCAGCTTGAAATGAAGCTTACGTTTCTTCTTCACTAATCCAGCAAATTTTCATCTCTACATGTCTAACTGTATCCCTTACTAAGCATTATCCAAAATGCCCATTCCCAAGCCCCTACGCTCTACCTTTAACTTAACCAAACACCTCCCCGAAGAGCTCCAGCCCATCGTTAAGCGCATTAGCACAACACCACCCAAAACGTACTGCCGCTGTATCCCAGTTTCGTTTAGATCATAAAAATGCCAGACTAAACAGAGGAAAAAGAATAAAGAGCAAAGCAAATGTGCCGCTAAATTTCTTGGGAATTGAGAAAGTTGAAAAGTCAGCGAACGAGGACGAAAGTCGATTTAAAAGCAATTTACATGCCCAAATAGAATACGTTCTTTGATTATAATTAACTGGGCGTATGCCAAAATTATGTCGCCACGAGACATTACGACTATTTTGAGTTATGGAAAAAGTCTATTGTCCGTGATGTGTGTGTGGGACATTACGGAGGAGGGGGGCTATTTAAATATTTATGTGCGCGAATTGTGTCGAGATAAAGACTTAAATTGCATTCGCAGGAGCTATGAAGATGATTGCAAAGGCAGGTGAATGATGAGAGGGGGAAGCTATGAGAGTAAGGAATAACTGGGTGAGATGAGATTAGTATATGTTTCTTATTTAAAGTAGGAGTTATATGGGACACACTTAGAGGGTCTACAGATAGATGATATGTAGAAGAAAATTGTGGAAGAAGTTACGAAAAGTATTGGGATATAGAGCAACTGTGAATTTAATATCTTTTAGAACTTTGATAGCTTGGCCCTTTGGGAGCCTTATATAGCAGCTAAATTGCTGGGAATTCCCTCTTAAGTCTGATCAAAAATGTTTTTACTACGCTTACCTAGAGCTGTGCTGGGAAGAGTTATACAGATTATCTTTCTCATTTTCAGAACCAAGTACAATCCCCAAATCTTGCAACTACAACATATTCACCACAGATAGACGCCCATTGAGGCGTGTCGAAATTCTGTTTGTTCAATAGACCTATCTATCTTTAAACCTTGAATGCTTAAACCTTTAATGCTCCACGAGCTTGAAATCATCTAAATCTAAGACCTGTACAACAGTTCAAAATTTATCTACCTTTACCTCACTCCACATACAAAGGGTGTTAACCCAGATGATAACCATCTCTCCCTTACCATCTCTCCCTTACCATCTCTCCTTTACCATCTCTCCTTTACCATCAGTCCCTTACCATCTCTCTCTCCCTTACCATCTCTCTCTCTCTCTCTTACCATCTACTTTACCATCTATTTTACCCGGCACTTTGTGCCGCAATTGAATTTATTGTAAATGCAGTTCATTAATTTGCATTTAATTGTTATTTGAAAACACACACACACATACACACACAGCACGACGTGCCCCATGGCAAACATGCGCTGATTCTAGTTAAACAGCCCAAGGGGAATCTCGTTTGGATCTCCACGCAGGAGACATCGGCCACAAACAAAATGGCGCCGCCGCCGCCAAGTGCCAGCGACAAGGACAAGAAACTGGAGCCGAGGCTGAAAACATGGAATGACTGCGATTACATTCAGGTAATTAAAATGAATGCACCACCCCGCCCTGCCCCGCCCCCTAGCCAACCACTTTCAGTGCACTCCATATTGTCCTTTACACTGCAACAATCCCCCCCCCGCCACCCACCCCTACTCTGAGCATCTGCGCCAACAATTTTAACAAGCGGCCAATGGCCGAGGCAAACAGAACATGAAAAGACTTCAGCTGAACGACAAAAATTGAAAATGAACAAGGAAAATGAGCAAAGGAAAGAAAAGTCCGGGTGAAAAACTCTGTTGTTTGCCTCAACTCCAGAGCTGAACAACGGGCATATCCCTTCCCTAGCACTGTTTGACTCTGGCCCACATAACAGCACGACAGCGCTGTCCGTCCGTCTCTCCGTCCGTCTGCACAAACCGGACATCGCCTGCGAGCGGCGCTTCGATATGCTCTCAGTGTGGGAAGTGTTAATTTCGTAGCCTCTTTGTTTGTCAATGCGATAAGAGTGGAAACCTTCACTACATCTCGCTCCCTCTCTCTCTCTCTCGCTCGCTCGCCTTTCATCCCTCTCTCAATATATAGAAACACACGTATATATATAGCGAGTGAGAAAGCCTCGTTAGGCTTTAAAAATTGCCCGGCCTAACTTTTGACTCGGCTCTTAACGAGCTCACAAGCAAACAAAGCGCCAAGAAATGAGAGAAAACGGCAAACTGCAAAATCTAATGGGAATTTGATTAGTACGAAATTCCTGAGCCAAGGCTGGCTTTGCCGGCTCTACGCTGTCCAACAAGGCCGAACGAAAGCTTAAATCTTGAAGCTATTTTCATGGCAAGTGTAGAGAAGTGCCTCAATCCAAGACAGACTTTAATGGTTAGAGACTAAGGGGAGAAGTTGGTATAGAAGTTGAAATTGGAGATAGGAAGTCTAGAATATTGACTCTAACTATAAGAAAATTTGTTAATATGATACTAAATTATTTAAATTACTTACAAATTTAATGAAAAACTCCTAGTGTGTTCCATATGGGCTTTGGTTAGTCTAGAGATCTCTTGATGTACCCAAGGAACTGCTCGAGCTTCATGAATTTCTTTGCTTAAATGTAGTAGCTTAGCATAGCAGATCGTACATAATGCGAATACGAACTATGCTACAGTTGGTATAGATAGTATTGTCTCCAATTGGAGTTCCATAGGTCCAGGTCTACCATAGTTTGTCGCTGGATAGATCATCTTCTAATAACCTAGAGATCTTAGCGCATCCCTAGCGTTGAGTCTCTATCTGTCTCTCTCTGTAAGCATTCAGTAAGCATTGATAGATTCTCTAATAAGAACATCCAATAAGAACATCGCCTCATTTCTAGTAAACACGCTCGCGTTCTATTCCTCTCACTCGCTATCTCTCTCTCTCTCTCTCTCTCTAACAACACTTCATTTCGGGTCTAGAATGCACCAAATCTTCTCTGCTACATATATGTATTATATATGTGTAATATATGTCTGTATATGTATATATGTATATTTTCTCGTACCTAGGAAAATGTGAAAACCAAGTGGAAATCGACGGTAAACGCAAAGAAATACAAAAAAAAAAAAATTATTGCTCTATATATACATACATATCAACTGTTTTGTCACACAAAGCGCCTCAAGCAAGCAAAAATTTAGTTCTCGTAGATCGCGCACTCCCACACACCCACCAAGCCACCCACCACCCACCATCCCCGTAACGTCCATCTATATATATAAAATATCTATTATCTGTTATCTTTAGCAACAATTGTTTGTCAGGGCGCACAATTAATCACTAAAGGACATTCATTGAGTAGATAATATATTCATTAAGGGGCACACGACGAGCTGTAGCAGGGGGCGTGGCTGGCAGCCAGGCTGCGCAGGAATTCGTCATTTTGGATTTATATAAATGAACACTCGACACGCACATCATAAATCGCAACAACAAAGCAGACCGTTGGCTGGAGCGCGGCAGGGGGGCAGGGGGGCGGGGTAGCTGCTGTCGTGGCCAAGAATGTCTCGGTCTAGGCTAACTACAAAAGTGCTCGAACGTGCCTCGGCTTATGTAAATTGTGTGTGAATTATAGCCGCAGGATATTCATCTAATGCACGTCGAGCATTAGCTCCACACTCCCTCCCCCTTCCCCCTCTTGAGCTCTTGAGAGCATCTATAGCTGCGTTTGTCCACTTCGGATGGATTTCCGTGCAGCTTAAGGCTTAAGTGAAGCACCAGCATTCTGGCATATCCGGGCATATCCTGCCAGCTTTCTCTCTCTCTCTCTCTCTCTCTCTCTCTCTCTCACTCTCTTGTGCTATTTGCCTTCAAATTAGCACTGCAAATGCTTTGACGAGCCAACGCGAATCACTGCATTTTGTCCAAATTCCTTTATTTTCTTTGCTTTACTACGCTCCCTCTTTTTTTTTTTTTTTTTTTGTATTCAATTTTGTTATCCTTGCTCGTGACCGTCCGACTAATTCGTGGCCGTTAAATTCTCGCTGCTTTTTTTTTTTGGCTAAATGGCCTGCAGCAGGCACTCGCCTGACTTCGTGTCGCCTACAAATTGTCCTTTTCATTTGCTTCTATATTTTCTGTTTTATTTCTGTTTTCTTCTTTTTTGTCTTTGTTGTCCTTTTTGTCGCGCCGCTAAGCCGGCCAGCGGCCAGCCAAAGTGTTGGCCATTTTTGGTGCGGCATGTGTGCATAATCGCCGGAAAAGCGATCTAAAGCCCCAGCACGAAACGCCCATCAAACACACATGCATACACTGAGCGAAAAAAAAGTGTAACTCACACATGTCCAAGGGTTAGACGAGTTTTAAATTTGTTGACAATTCGTTAGCTTGGGCATCTAAAATGGAGAATTTGTCCAGTTGGGAATTTTGAAAGCATTGCTGTTCTTATTGGACGCCAGCGAATATCTACATTACACTTGGAGAAAAGTTGACTAAAAGTTGAAATTGATTTTAGCTTAGCGTTGAACTGGGTTTGAAGTACAGTAGAATCCGGTTCTGACGACTCCGTTTATAGCGTCTGTACGCTTATAGCGACCAAAATTCTGTTCCCCAGACAAACTTTTATGAGCAAACTTGTACGGTTATAGATTCTACTGTATACTAGGATTCCTCTGTATACATAACTCTGATTAGAGATTACACTGTCAGAACAAACTGAAGCTCATATATGAGATCAGCTTAGACTTAAATGAACTCATAGTAGGCAACAGTGGGCTATACATTTTTAAACATATATTTTCGCTGTAGAATACAAGACTTTGATCTAGTATAGTAATTCTTATTGGACTCTACATACGCAGAAAATGCATTCGAGCTTAGCTTTAGTTTGGATGATTAGGAAGTTAGGAAGTCATTGGGCATATTTTGATTTAACTTCTATCTCTAGCAACTATATCCCATATTCTAGCAATAAGCAACCCATATCCAATTATAATCCTATTGGAATCTTAATTATAATCTTATTGGCGTGCATATACTGGACTATCTTTAGACTTGCAAACTTTACCTAGAGTTCAGTATATGTGCACTTCAATTATTTTAATCATTTCACTTTTTAACTACCTTAAGTTAAGTTAAGTTTAAGTTAGTTGATTTATTACTTTAACCTTTCTGTTCAGTTACAACTTGGAGCTTACCTCGACACCAAGATTGATTAGTACCCAAGTTACAAGCACTTACCACCCCTTGCCAACCCATTCCCAATAGACTTTTGACTAGCTCTCTTCTCTCAGTGTATTGCACATTTGACTACACATGTTTGCACATTCCGCTGCTGTTCCAGTCATTACGCTCTCAATAGCTGCAAGTGCCCCGCCTCACTGCTTGATAATTTATATAAATGCCACGCTTTCAATAAATTTGCGGTTCTCTATTACCTGATCCAGTTTGTGGTCGCTCTGTCTCGCTCGCTCTGCCCCTGCCTCTCGCTCTCTCTGTGATGCTGCTGCTGTTGCTGCTGCTGTTGCATGGTAACCTCACTTAAATTAATGCAAAAGTCGCCAGCCACAAAACTAATTTGTCATGCGTGGCCAAAATGGTTGGCAAATGCAATCCAGACCCACAGGCTAAATTGCCCACCTGGCGGACAGCTGCTGCCGCTGCCGCAGCTGCTGCTCCTCCTCCTCACCTTGCCTCTGCTCAACCAGCTGACTGGTTCGAGGCATTTGCTGAGGGCCAACTCAATTAAAATGCATGAAATTATGCAAAAATGCTGTAAACACAAATGCAAATACACACACACACACACACATGGCACACACAATTGAGCGCGCCATTCGTTTATGCGCTGCATAAATTCATGAATTCCAACCGAAGGCAAAACTTTCGGTCCTCTAAAGAGCCACACTCTGTCATTCCTAATAAATTCCAGTAAACTAAAGTTGCTCAGTGTTCAATGAATGATACGAATTCGCTGCAAACTACTTTATGTAGTTTGCTTTATATGTAGTTATCAATTGTTTATTGAGTATATCATGACTAATATGCATTTGAGTGACATGAAATACAGTAAAATTCCCTTCATTTATTAAGTGTTTCATGAATATTGAAACATAGCGGTATATAGTCCTTTAAACTATAACAATATTGAATGAAAAGAAAGAAAGAAATTTATTTTATTTAGAAGACCTTAAAACAGTCAACTAACAACTTATAGCAAAAGAGTCTCTTAAAGACTCAAGATATCCCAAAGAATTGCAATAGAAAATACAGTAGAAACCGATTGTACAGACACTCAAGGGACCGTCGATATACCCGGAAGTCGCTATAACCGTATAAGATTGCTCATAAAAATTTGTCTGGGGACCAGAATTTTCGTGACTATAACCATACAGAAGGTATAAGCGGAGTCGCTATAGCCGGATTCTACTGTATAATTTAAATAATATACCTCAATATTCACACAAATCTTTACACTACCTATCAATAATTTATCCCTCAATATCCATAAGTAAAGCCCTCTTCAAATTAATCTTCATACAAGCTGCTCAACTTTCAAGAATACGAAGAATTTTTAGTTGAAAACTTTTTGTCATTTTGAGCTATTTAAAAGCTATAAAATGCAAATTCGCTAAAAAGCTAACTAACGCCGGCACACGCACACACACACACACACACGCACACTTACGCATAGTAAATGACATGATGGCCAAATCAAATTATGGCTAAAAAATTTCCGTTTTTTTACGAGCTGACAAAAATATCACGTATACGCCTAATGGCCTTGAAGTATGCGTAATAAATATGAACGCTAAAGCCGGGCGGGTAGCAATTGTACAAGTTTAGTTAGCACACACACAGCCACGCCCCCACGCAGCGCCCCTCTTTTATATATATAGCAATATGTAGTTAAGGCACATGGAACAACATTTCCATTTCACATTTGTCGTTCGCAATTTTTGTTTTTCTTCTCACTCATTTCGTGCGCTCCTCACACATTCTCGCTCTCTCTCTCTCTCTCTCTCTCTCTCTCTTTCTCTTTCTCTTTCTTTCTCTCTCGCTCTGTCTCGCTTTTCTCGCTCTGTCTGCTGTTTCTCTTTGGCACCGCAGGACTACGTGACCGTATACGATGGCTATACCACGCGTGACCCCATCATTTTGAAATTTTGCGGCGGCGGTCAGGCGGTGCCCGCGGCCGTATCTAGTGGGCCGGAGCTGCTGGTGGAGTTTAGCACATCGCCATTTGGCACCTTCACGGGCACCTCGTCGCAGCTGCTGCCGCTCTATGGCTTTCAATTGGAGGTGAGTAATCAGCCGAGCCAAGCCCCACGGCAATTCGCATTTCGCAAATCTCTGCCGCTTTGCAGGTTGAGGTTCAATTCGTGGACATACAGAGCCCCACGTACTCGAAGAACAAAAAACCCTGCGAGTTCTGGATACGCGGCACCGGCCGTGGCATTCTCGAGAATCCCAAGCACTCCCTGGCTCCCAATTCGACGTGCCTCTACCATCTGCAAGGCATGGGCGTCTTCAAGACCTTCGACCACCTCAGTCTGTCGCGTCGCACGAGCAGCCAGTCGGGCATGCATCAGCCGCTCTCACGCTTCAAGGTCTGGATCTCTGTGCTCAAGTTCAATCTGGATCCGGAATTCGGGCAAATGGACGAGACGTCTGTGGGTGCAATTGGCGTGCTGCAAACACAGGAAGACTGCAGCGGCATGCTGCGCATCTGGGATGGCACTCTGAGGGATGTTCCGGTCTGCAAGGATCTCAACTGGTAAGTGATCGACCGATCTCTATGTTACCCTGGTAAGCTCCCATCTCACTAGGTGAGACCAGCTTATCTATTCTTGACATATACCAATGTGTTCTACCTTCTCTTCCCCTTCCTCTTCTCTTGTAGACAAACTGAACTATCCCTGATCTATACCAAATTTATGATTCCCTTCTCTTTTTGAGCTATCCCTAATCTTTAGCATATTTATGATTCCATTCTCTCGTTTTCCCCCTGCTCGATTCCAGATCTTCCCTTTCCAAGATCTTTGATCCTTCCTGTCCTCTATCTCTCACCTCACAGCTAGCTCTACCTTGATATTTCTGAAGCTTTTCTGATCTCCCAGCGTATACTTTTCTCTGCATTTCTTCCGATTCAGTGATCTACACCCACAGATGTATGCCTCTACTAACCTTTTCTTCTCTTCTCTTCCTCCACTCCATCCAGCGCCAATGAGCCAAGCCAGGGCTACAGCTCGCTTGGACACTATGCACACAACTCGACCAATGTGATAGCGCGCTTCTGTCGCGGCACCATTCCGCGCACCTGCGATCGCTCCAACATTAACGAGACCTTCGCACGGCCCTGCACCATCTCCGAGAGCTATGTGTCCAGTAGCGATTCCATCACGCTGGAGCTGCGCAACACAGAGTCCACAGTGCTCAGGTGAGCTGCATTACTAAATCTTTACAAGTGCTCTCTCACTCTCCCTCCCTCTCTCTCGCTCTATCTCTCTCTCTGTCTGGCAGGCCCCTCGACTTTAAGCTGAAATACGAGTTCATCGATCTGCATCAGGATGGTCTACCCCAAGGTGGCGGTGAGCTGGACTGCAATCGCAAGTTCGTCAGCAGCCTGATGGATCGCAAGGATCCGGCAATCTTTCGCAGCGTGCGCAACATTTTCCTCTTCGGGCGCGGCGGCACGCGGCATCTGAAGTGCGTCTACCGCTTCGAGGCGCTGCGTGGGGAACGAGTACGCATCAAGCTGCGCAAGGTGACGACCTCGAATCGAGATTGCTACTCACGTCTGGATGAGGACATCAATCGATCCTTCTGCTATGGCGATACGAATGTGCGCGTCGAGGTTTGTTTGCTGACTGCGGCCTCAATCGGGATCCTCTCTCAGTATTTTTATTTCCCTCATAGATCTTTGAGCGTCCCTATTCGGACTCCATTCTGCTGCATCGCGGCTGCGTCTGCAACTCCTCCAATCAGTCCCACCTGCCGGTCGAGTACACCTCGACGGGCCGCGATGTGGAGGTCCACTTCACAGCCCACAATATGACCACACTGGACGATCCGGACACGGCGAACTTCGAGGGCATGTTCGAGTTTGTAAAGGCGCCCACCAGCTGCAAGGATGGCCGACGCAAGTTCGGACCCAGCGGCACCATCGACATGACCTTTGGTGATGTAAGTGTGGAGACGAGAAGCGAGGAGCATCGTTACTACTATATGCACTCCTTGCTCTTTCAGATCGAATGCCGCTCGAGACCCTGGCTCATCGAGCCCTCCAACGGCAACAAGTTTCTCTATGTACGCCTCAAGGCCATCTTCCTGAGCAAACACAATCCGAAGAAGACCTTGAACGCCACCCACTTGGAGACGAACAGCTGGCGCTGCGAGACCAAATCCCGAGCAGTGCTCACCACCTCGGAGGGTAAGCAGAGCTCCATTTAATGAAGCAGAGGAATTCAATTCTCTGTCCATTCAGGTCTCACCATTGTGGCCTGTCCGCTGAGTCCCGACTCGAATGCCTATGAATTCGTGGAGATCTTCAGCTCCGGCTGGAATGAGCGACCCAATTTCGCGCTGATGAATCGCTCGCGCGCCATCAGCGTGGAGTTCCTGCGCCCCAGCAATGGGGAATACAGCTTCAATTGGATGGAACTGGTGCCCAGGCCCACGCTCAGCATAGCCGGTGAGTCGAAGAATCTGGAGAAGTAGTTTTTGCTTGAGTGATTTTTAACATTTGGTATCCCATCCGCAGAGGATTGCCAGTTCAAGTGCGCCGAGCTGGGCGCCTGTGTGAATGCGAGCGTCTGGTGCGACGGCATCGTGCACTGCCCCTCGGGCGACGACGAGGCCTTCCTCCAATGCTCCGCTCTGATGAAACTGCCCGCCGAAATTCTAGCCACGCTCTGCCTGATCTTTGTGCTCTCGTGTTGTGCTTTCGCTGCCTTTGCCTACAAGTGAGTGGACGAAGACTGACTGCGCTCATAGTAGTAGTAGTGCGACTAGAATGTTGCCTCACTACTATTTTTATGGAACGTAGTGACACTACCACGGCTGTTCATGAATATAGTAGTGTCACTATATTGCTCAAAAAAATAGTAGTATATAATAATACTACTATTTTTGTGGGCACATCTGTCATCAAAAAAATAGTAGTAAATAATACTACTACTATTTTGGTGACCACAACTGTGCATAAAAATAGTAGTAAAACAATTTTACTACTAATTTTGTGAACACAGCTATTCATTAAAATAGTAGTAAATAATACTACTACTTTTTTGTGAACTCAACTGTTGTTAAAAATAGTAGTAAAGTAATACTACTATTATCTGTGTGAACAAAGTTATTCATTAAAATAGTAGTAAATAATACTACTACTTTTTTGTGAACTCAACTGTTCATACAAATAGTAGTAAATTATTACTATTACTATTTTTGTGAGCTCAGCCGTTCATAAAATAGTAGTAAAATTATACTACTACTATTTTGCGAACACAACTGCTCATTAATATAGAAGTGCAGCTGACATTTGAAATTTTGTTCTTCATCAACATCTAGTCTTCTTTTACTCTCAAGCCTAATACTTTTCCCATTTCTCATTTCACAGAAAAATCAAACGGAAATTGCGCGGCTCCTCGGTGCTGCAGACGCGGCTCAAGTCGCTCAGCTCGATGGATACGGCTGTGCTGGATGAAAAGGAGGTGATTTGCTGACAAAGCGACAATTCTGTGCGTTACGTGGAGATCGATCGTGTGACCACGGTCTGATCGAACACGACTCAAATAACGTGCAGAATTGTGCCCCGGAACTGAAAAAAAATTTAAAAACAAAAAAAAACTCAAAATATTACTGCAAAAAAATCAAACTAAAATGCGATACGAAACGCGATCAAAAGGCAATATAAAAATAATTTTAAAAAAAAAACAAAAACAAAATAAGGAAATCAAAAAAGATACCGTAATCAAAGTCAAAGTCGTTCACCTGTTTTTAAAATGCATTTAAATCAAAAACAAAGGGAAGAAGCAGTAGAAGAAGCAGAGAAAAAAAAACATAAATATGAGACAAATTTTTATTTCGTATTTAAAACTCGGTTTTATATACATATATATTAAATATATATATATAGCATGTGCATAAGACTCGAACGCGAACTCGTTTTATAAGCAATTTTCTAGGCCTGAGTTTGTCGGAATACATTTTCCACCCACTGTACATAAAGCGAACGTCACTTTAGACTTTTAGTTCAAGGAGTGAAAAGTTTTATACTTCCACTAGGTTTTTTTTATATATACAAAATATATATAAAAAGAAATGCTCATAGACCTATGTAGATACAACTGTTTCCTAATAGATTCTAAGCAAAACCAAAAGAAAACACTAGCCAAACGAAACTACAGAGAATTCTGTCTCAGCTAGGGACAAGCTGGGCTATTCGCCCTATATCTAGATGGTAAAACGTAGTATTTTGTTCTTCTGGTCAGTCCGTAATGGGACGGACCACAGCATTTATTATGCGACGCACAAGTAAAGAGAAAATTAAGAAAAACAAAAACCAAAAGAGAAAGTCAAAGTGAAAGTGAAAGTGAACTATCCAATAAATAAGAAATCAAGTCGAAATATAGTCGAAAATTAATCCAAGTAGAAAGTAAGTGAAAATGTTTTACATTCTAAGATCTGCGTAAATTTTCCAATAAAGTGAAAGAATTATAGTCGAAAGATCGTTTTGGATCAACGGAACGTAGAGTCAAACGATAATATATGTCAATATCTAATAGAGCTGCAAACCCAAACAACATTTCCTGATACTAGCTGAAGGTTCATCGCTTGAGGATGGCATTCTGAAATCTGGTCTTATGGCATTTAATGAACCCTTTATATAATATAGATTTGCAGATTCGAAATTATTCAAATCTTGTCTCAAATCAACAAAAGCTATGAAATGTATACCAAAAGTGCTTCACGATCCACTCAAGTAGCTCAAATACTGCCTTGGTTTCAAGTTCTAAGTTCATGAATATGCTTAATAAATAGATTCATTCATTAGGCTTAGAGCTAAAACCAAAAATTCATTTCATGCTTGACTAAATTCAATTTAAATTCCTGATACAAATTCCACTTAGAATCCTGGTCTGAAACAGCAATGATCCATATATATAATATATGCATCGACTATGCATAAGCTGACAGACTAATGCTTAAACTTAAGCACAGCTGCCCATCTTAGTCGAAGATCATGATCTACTACTTCATGATCTACTAAAGGAAACTCCGATACCAGATTGATGCCCCTCAAGGGCATGCCATGCTACAACCTCGTTTCATACCAGTTTGCTCAATCCTATTGCTGGCAGAAGAACTTTATCGATTCACGTTTGCAGCTTAGATCAAATATATTTATATAGAACTAGAAGAGCTAGAGTAAATTCGTTAGTTGTTTCATAGACGTAGCCCAATCAACCATTTTATAGCATAATAAGTAAATATCTACAGATATAAATATATAGACATATATAGATATACTGAGATCATACAGTTAGGATCGTGTCACGCTCATTGTTGAACTCGTTGTTGTTGTTTCGTCTCCCTAATAAAAATCAAATCTCTGTGCACAACTTCGCGCTCATAGCTCACCAAATCACAATTAGAGACTGCCTGAATGCCGCCCCATTCACACACACACACACACACACACACACGATACCCTTTTCCATGCATGGTAATTTTGTTGGCTCTGGGCTCTTGTGGCAGCTAATTAAATGTAAATTCCACAATTCTCTATTTTATATACTTTTTACTGCTGAATTTATTCGTTTTGCAAGATGAGAACGAGCAAAGTGGTCGTCGTCGCTGAGACCAAGGCCTAGAAAATAATATTGGGCAGCAACAACAACAACAACAACAACAGAGAGAGGGTGAGAGAGAGAGAGAGGGAGAGTGGGAGATCAGTGAGAATACGATCTTAAATCCAATATTTCCAAACAACTCTAAGTATTGTAAATAAGCAAAATAGAAAGCAAATAGATACTATATATATATAACAATTTTACACTGCGCTGTTTTATTTATCATTGAAAACATTTACTACATTTAACTATTAAATTAGAAGATGAAGAAAACAAGATCCCAAAATGAAAAAGTTTTGATGTTCAAATCAAATCGCAGACAATAAAATTACTAAAGAAAACGCGAACAAAATTTTCATTTCCAACAACTAAAGAAACATTAAAGTAATACACAGACACACACACATACATATATATACTATATATACACATGATACTCAAAGATCGGTAAACTGAAATTCAATTAAATTAAACAAATTACATTAAATGCAATCAAATTTATAAAAATTGATTTAGACAACAACAACAAAATCAGTTATATACTCAATTAGGCATATATATGTATGTACTATGTGCGCCGATCTCATTAAAATGGACTGAGGCAAAGATATATAGATATATACTGGATACATTAGCCAGGAAACCCAAATGAGCGTCGCTAATTGCAAAGACCACATAAGGTTAGATTTTTAATCTCAACAAATAGTTTAAATATATAAAATAAAAACTTAAAAACAAAAGCAAAACTAAAAGTAAATTTTTTAAAAATTCAATAAAAACGTAAAAACATAACTAAATAACAAATAAAAACATAAACCCAAACAGCTAAACAAATTTCAAATGTTGTAAAGAAAAAAAAACAAAAACAAAATCATATCAGATTCTAAAATGATATTAACATTAAATGGAAAACGTAAACTCAATAAATGAACATTTAAATTCGATTCATCAAACTTTTACTTAAATATAGTAGTTTTAGATATCAGACATCGCCTCTGCTTTTCTCCAGGCTGTGTCGCTGTCGATGCTTGTAGAGCGAACTGGGATCGCGAGTGGAGAATTTGCAGCTCTCGCACTTCAATGGCTTCTCTCCGGTATGCTGGCGCATGTGTATCTGAAAAGGATGAGATGATACTTGTAGAAGTTATACATCCCATATCCTATCGTATGTGTCTATCCTAGATATATGTATATATTACAATTAGGCTCGCCTTCCGCGCAGTCTTCTTGCCGCAGACGTTGCAGATGAAGGGTTTGATCTTGTTGTGCACGGTCTTCACGTGCTTGGACAGTGTTTTGCCATTCACAAATTTGCGTTGACAAATGTCGCAGGTTTTTTCCGCATAGTATTTGGTTTTCTTGGCCGTGGCAATGGCTGGCATCGATTGCTGTGTATCGGTAGCTTCGATCTGCTGCTGCTGCTGAAGTTGCGCCTCCTGTTGCTGTAGTTGCGCCTCCTGCTGCTGCTGCTGCTGCTTTTGTGCACGTCGACGCAGCAGCTCACGCCGCATGACTCGGCTTCGCCAGTTTTTGTGGACGCGCATGTGTCGCCAGACGAGCGCCGCAATGGGAGATTTATAATCGCAGCCGAGAACGGGGCATTCCAATAGATCCACATCCAGGTGATGCATGCGCCACAAATGCAGCGAACAGCGTCGCCAATTGGGCATATCCTCGCCGCACTCACTGCAACTGAAGCCCGAGTCCTTGTGGCATTTGGCGTGCAGCGACAACTTGTGATGGCTCTCAAATTTATAGATGCAACAGGTACAACTGCAACAAGTGCATTAAATATGGATATATTCATATAATGCTAGCTACATACTTCACTTGTTGCTTGGCACGCAGCACAATGCGAAAGTCCTTGAAGGGCAGCGGCTGCAGTTCTGCAGGAGGAGGCGGCGTCAAGGACTCTCGACTTGCATCCATATACTGTGTTTTCTTGTTCGCCGATTTGATGGGCTGACAGTCGTGATATAACATCATGTGGCCACGCAGATCTTCCAGTAAATCATATTGCCGCAAACATAAACTGCAAACATAAACAATGCGTGCAGGCAACTCCATTTCAAGCAAAACACTTCTTAAAACCACAATTTCATCTTAGCACTCAACTATCAGCTGTTTTCATAACGGCGCTGCCAGTTAACAGTTTGCTGATATGTTTTTAACATTTGTATAGTGCTACAATTTGAATTTAACAGCTTCTCAGTTTAAAGGCTTGATAAGCAAAGGAGCGAGAGCTGTTCTGTTGACAGAGCTGTTAAGAGTCAACGGCTAGCTGTTCGAAAACAGCATTTAACTAGTTGCTTAACTATTATTAACAGCTTTAAAACGAAAAAATACGCGCTAAAAAAGTTAAAACATAAATAATAGCAATACTTAAAAAAAAATATTAACAAAAATCTTGTGGCTTTCACCCAATAAAAACATTTAAGTAAAAGCTCATATCTCTCTTTGTAAGCTATCGTAGATCTTCGAAAAGAACTTCAGTGCTGTTAATAAAAATAACGTTGCCACCTTTCAGAATAGTACCTACAGCGAGTCAGTGTTTTCGGCGTGTGAACTCTTGCAGTTTACGGTCACACTGTTAACAAGAAAAACGCGAACGCGTATAAAATATTTTATTTTATTTAATTTATTAGTTCTTAGTGATACAAAATAACTGTAGTAAAGCCATAGTCTCGGACTACATACACAGTTGCAAGAACAAAAAGCAAAAATGGGGAGTGCGCTGGAAAACTACGTGAATCAGGTGCGCACGCTAAGCGCAGCGGGTAAGTGCCGGCAGAGAAAGAAATTTCGCACACCAGAAAAAATGATAATTATATGCATATATATATATATATATATATTTATATTTGTATATACATATCTTATATGCAGGCAGTTATCGTGAGCTGGCGGATGAGTTGCCCGAATCGCTGTCACTGCTGGTGCGCAACTGGAGCATATTGGACAATGTGCTCGAGACACTGGACATGCAACAGCATACGCTGGGCGTCCTCTATGTGCTGCTCGGCAAACTGCACAGCGCGGCGACTGCCAATCCAGAACCAATGCAAATTATTGAATTGATGCGTGAATTTGTGCAGCGCAGCAATTTGGACCAACTGCGCTATGCCGTGTGCCCATGTAAGTATACTCTGCGTCTCACCTCTATAAATTTGTAATCTAATCTGCTTTCTAGTCTATGAGACTTGCCATTTGTTTACGGACTTCTTGGTGCAGCACAACTTAAGCATTTTGGGCATTAAAGTGCTCTCGCTGGCCATTGACCAAATACGACAAATGGAGACACAGCTAACGCCCATACACGCCGATCTCTGCCAGCTGAGCCTGAAGGCGAAAAACTTTAATCTAATACTGCCTTATTTGGATACGGATATAACAGATATTTCCACCGTAGCAGCCGAGTGCAAAAATCAACAGCAACAACAGCCGCAGCATACGCTCGTATGTCTCCTGCTCGATTTTATATGAGAAATAATTCTAACTTCTGTCTCTGCTCTCCTCTAGGATGCCAACAACGATGCGAAGTACTTTTTGCTCTACTATTATTATGGCGGCATGATCTATACGGCCATTAAGAACTATGAGCGTGCTCTCTACTTCTTTGAGGTCTGCATCACGACGCCAGCGATGGCCATGTCGCACATTATGCTGGAGGCATACAAAAAGTTTCTAATGGTTTCATTGATTGTGGAGGGCAAGGTGAGGCAATCAATTACGCTTTCAGCTATGCTCGAATAATGAGAATTGCATTTTGCAGATAGCGTATATACCAAAGAACACACAGGTCATAGGACGTTTTATGAAGCCGCTGGCAAGTCACTATCATGATCTGGTCAATGTGTATGGCAATTCGTCGAGCGAAGAGCTGCGCATTATAATACTCAAATACAGTGAAGCATTTACGCGTGATAATAATATGGGCCTAGCCAAACAGGTGGCGACGTCTCTCTATAAGCGAAATATACAACGTTTGACAAAAACATTTCTCACGCTGTCGCTGAGCGACGTGGCCAGCCGTGTCCAATTGCCAAGTGCGGCGGAAGCTGAGCGCTATATCTTAAATATGGTTTGTTTTATAATGTATAGAATATGCCACGTGTACTTCATACCTCTATCTTGTGCTCTGCCAGATAAAATCGGGCGAAATCTTTGCCAGCATTAATCAAAAGGATGGCATGGTGCTCTTCAAGGATGATCCAGAGCAGTATAATCTGCCCGACATGTTTCTCAATGTGCAAACGAATATAACGCAGGTGCTCGATTTGGTTAAACAAATCAATAAAATGGAGGAGGAGATTATACTGAATCCCATGGTAAAAGCTGAACAACATTTCATTCAAATATATTATTTACCAAAATTGAAAATCGTAAAATCTTTGCAGTATGTGAAAAAATCGCTGGGCAGCCAGGACGACGACTTGGCGTCGCAGCACCCCAAAACCTACTCGGGGTAAGCAAGACAAGAAATCAAGACAATCAAGAAAACATCAACAATCAAAATTCAAATTCCATTGACAGCGATCCCACGGATTGAGCAAAGGAGGAAACAAGCAGTAGAAGTAGCAGCAGCTGGAGCAGCAGCAGCAGCAGTATGAGCAGGAGCCGTAGCAGTAGCAGCAGCAGCAGCCACTAAAGCAGAGAAACTGCTAAAATATAGATGGAAACATGCTATTTTAAATTAAATAAAAAAAGAACACTAATGTATAAATCAATGACTAATGCGCATTCCAATCAAAGTCACAGTCAAAACAATGCTAAAGTAATTATTGATTGCATAGTCAGATAACAAGTTTGATGATAAGGTACGATCAGGCCACACAACACGAATTGCTTTGCACTTGGCCAACACAATGCTTTATATTTGTAGATGTTTGTAGTTTATTTACAATATCAACGTCGAGGCGTTTAATTATTATTTTAAGCTATGGCTAATTAACTGACTAGACAGATCCGCGTCGTCTCCACTGGAATATGTATGTGTATGCATATAGGTACTACGTTTACAGCTAGACTAAATAATTATCTTTTATGTACAGTATGTTTGCAGCTAATCTGATCCACAAGCGAGATTCCCGTTTAGCAGCGTTCATCGTGATGGTTGTTGTTCTCGTTGATGTTCTTGTTGTTGTTTGTGATTGTGATTGTGTTAACCGGTTTTCATGACATCCACCTCCAACATAGTTGTCTTCAGCGAGCTGCTCGACACGCCCCCATCGTCAACGACGCCCATGCTGCGATAGAGCTTGTGCACCACATTGAATATGATGAAGCTAACGATCAGCACCAGCAGCGACATGAACGCGTAGGCCAGCACCAGCGGCGTGTCCGATATGGGATCCAGCATTATGTCGAAATAGTTTCCAAAACAAGAAATAACTTTTGAGTTCTATGTTTGTTTTGCTTTTGCTTTTGCTTTGCTTTTGCTTTTTTCTCTCTGTCTGACAAGCTAAGCAAAGACCCGAGATACACAGAGAGAGTGAGAGTGTGAGAGAGCGGCGGAGAGAGGGAGCGAACTGAAGTGAAACGCGTATGCTAATTAAATGTCGCGCACACGTCTATATATACATATATACGTCCATTTACACAGACACACACATATACATATATGCATGTATTCTTCTATATATTTCCGTTTGATTCAGCTGTTTGTCGCTGCTGCCGACTCGCTGTACTGTATGCATTGACACCTGCGCCTCAACTGGCCCGCGCGTGTGTCGAACTTCGTATAGAACTTTGTCGTTACGTATACGACGCGTAGAACGTGGCTTCGCTCTCTCTGTATTTGCCGCTCTCTCTCTCTCTCTCTCGCTCTTATTCTCTGTTTTGTATGATAGATCTAAACTTGTTTATGGATCGCTCTGGGGCAGGGGCAGAGTTCGGGGCAGCGCGCTTCTTACATTAACCAGGGTCAGTTTGAAGTGTTTCGCATTCAATCACCCGGTTTATATATACATATATAAATATTTGTATAGTTCTTATTTCAGCTACAAAACTAGTTGGAATTGGTTCTAGGCCGAGAGAGTCGCTTGACATTTGGATACTCTGTACGGGTACTCTATACGGGTACAAAGTGCGCCCGATTCCATTGTTTTAGATATCATTATCATAAGAGTATAATTATAATGGATACTGCACTCGGTACTTTACATGTATGTATGTATAACTGTGTCCATCTATATACATATATACTGAATGGAGACGCGTGAGCTATATATAGAACAGATATATGTATCTGGAAATGCGTTGCATCTAGAGCTTTCATAGAATTCTGCTGCATTCAATGATCTATATATAAATATTTAATATATATATTTAATAATTTTGATCTCTGATCTTAGTTTTTCTATAAATACCGAAGTTGATCTCTGATCTGAAGTCGTTAGTCTGAGAGTATATATCAAAGTCTGCCGTTAACTCATTGCAATTATTTTGGATTCATTAAGATCTTTACGGATATCTATATCTGTATGAATTTTGGATAGAGCTATTAAAATTTGGGGACATACTTGTATGTACATATTTGTATATATATAAAGCTGAGAAGCCGAAATAAATGTGCTTGTCATTCCATAATTAAAAGTCTTTTGACTTGGACTTCCGATCGACGTTTAAATACCCTTGAGCTCGAATCAAATCTGCTATGGAAATGGTTTTAATATAAAGACTAAAGACTCAAGTAGTGCTGCTTTTCGATGTTGTAATATGTATTATGCCTCGACTATCTACAGTGCGTATCGATATAGGCCATAGGTATACATATATACATACATACATCGTATATGTATAATACGATATATACAATGCATATGTTGTCGTATATGAAAGCAAGGCATAAGAAACTATGTCAGACCACCTAAACATGTGAGATATACACGAATGTAGCTGTATATGTATAAACATACACATAGGCATGCTTAATAAATTTCTTAGATATACCAACGACCTTTATCGGTGAAGTGAAATGAAGTGATAAGATTTTTCTTATCGTTTAAAAAATTTAAGTATGATGAGTGGGTAATGCCCGCACTTAAGGTCGTAAGATTTATAGACAAGTGCAGAACAAATTGGGAAACTAACTAATTCTAATATGTAGAGCTATGAATGTTTACAAAGGCTTGAGAAATATTAAGAGATAACATACATAGATAAATATATTATCGATGACTTTATTATGTAATGGTTTCTATACTTTCGGTTAGATAGAAACGTTGCTTCAAGAGTTCAGTATAGTATACCTCTTCCAGCTAGTTTTCCAGCAACAGGGTATACTTATATATACATTTATTTTATATATCAAGCAATTCATTGAATGCCAAAACAAATTCATAGATTCAGCCAATCAAGTAATAAAATCTACAACTTGTATGAATATATATATTTATGTGCATACATACGTATATACCTATATATGTATATATATATATATTCTTCTGCTTCATCACATGAATCAAACGAGAGAGAGAGCGAGCGAATTTAATAACTGGCAATTAAAATTGGAAGCAATTTGCGTAGCCGATTCGAGGGGGGGAATAGACAAATTTATTTGACCAGACTTACCTGATAAAAACGTTTATAGACAGCAAATGAGATAAGATATCACTAATTTTGGTTTGTTAAATCCAAAAACAAAGCATACAGCCAACATACGATTGTCGGGCGGCATTTCGTTCAGACAGAGAACTGTCTGAGCACGTTTGCCACTCGAGAAAGAAGCTAAGAGAATTTTGATTTAATATCTGAGATATAAAGTAAATTTATTTTATAGCTATAGATAAATGAATTGAAGGAATATTTATTACTTTCCATTTCTTAAAGTTGCAGAAAATTGTTTAAAAATGTATGAATACTTTTAGATATAGCTCAATAACTCAAGATACCTAATATAATGAGATATGTACTAAGAGGGCAGGGCGATTGGTAAAGATCTCTCCTAAAGCTAGAACTTAAGAAGTTTTATAGTGCAGACTCTCTCTTGAGACTTACCAAAAGTTACCTCTACGGGTTTTGTAGCGTGTACATTAATAATGCAATCCCTGGAATCCAACATAAACTCTTTTCAACATAGAAACACTTTCACTTCAAATAATCTTCAATCAAATATAAAAATTAAAGTCGACTGAAAAAAAAAAAACAAAGTTTATCATAAATTAAGGCAGCAGCTAAAACCTGTTTGCAATCAAATATAAAAACATCCATATATACATATATATTTTATACATCTCTTGATTTCCGTTAAACTGTAGGCATGGCCACACTGCCACGCCCACCATGCATGAGATACAATACAAAATAATAAAGACCAAAACAAGTTCTATCAAAAAAATATTAAAATATAAAGCGCTAATTTAAAATCCAAGCGAGCCCATTGTGCCCAGTGTCTCCCGTCACGCACGCACACACCCACACACGCACACACACATAGAGAGAGCTCCGGCCCGAGCTTTACAGTACCTCTCTCGCTCGCACACATAGTTGGCATTGCTTGTTCAGTTACTTGTGTCGTCGCCTCGCCTCTGCCTGCTGGACCCTGTGCAGGGCGCCGGGCAGGCCGCAGCTTGATCCGTGGAATTCGTCTCCATCACATCCTTGATGACGTCGTCGAGCACCAGGCGCATATTCTTGCGCTCATTGCAGCGCAACAGAAGCTTGAGGCGTGGCACCCGGGACAGGTGATCGTAGTACTTGAGCACGCGCACACTGTCCGCCGCTCTGGGAGCGACTGCGGCACACTTGTTGACGTTCGCCTTGCAGTTGCACATGAAGCTAATGGCACGCTGGGCGGGATTCTTATAGATGTCCAGCTCGACGCTGACCAGGTAGCAGGCCTCCAACGTGAGTGTAATGCGAACTGCAGGCAGACCACCTCACCCACTCTATATATATATGCATATATTTGTATATATTCCCAACTTACCCACTGACGATTCGTAGATCTGTGAGCGATTCTGTATCCAAATGGAGCGTGCGCTCAACGGCTCGGAGCGTGTCGATTGCACACGATGCGGCGATATGGAGAGGGAGTAGCGCGACCCGGGCGCCGCTGGCAGTGGCAGATTATCATAGATGGATATGTAGATCTTATGGCTGACATAGGCGACAATGAAGAACAGTATGATCAGTATGAGCAGGAACAATATGTAGGTGAATAGGGTGGGTAACCAAATGATGGCGTCCAGCAACATTAGAGCAGTGGGCTGCTTGGATTCCGCCTCTCTCTCTCTCGCACTCTGTCCCTCTATCCCCAAATATAAATATTTTTTCATATAAAATTATTGGGTGAGAATTTTGTGTAGGCATTTCCGAAAATATAAACTAAATAATATCTAATGGATACAATTTGTTGTTTCTTTTTACTTTTCATTTTTGTTTTTGCAACATCTATGTAAATGTATTTATTACGTTTCTTTTTTTTTTTTTTTTTTTTTTGTCTGTTTGTTTTTGTTAGTTTTTTACTCTTTATATAGTACATACGATTTTACATTGATAATAATTTTTTAGTTTTAGTTAGTTTAAATTATATGCGCTGTCTCGCTCGCACTCGCAGTGGCTCTGCTCGCATTATCTGCCATCAGCGTTTTCATAGCATTTAGCTTTTTGTTTTGCTCACATGCGCTCAGTGCTTACGCACTTCTGTCGCTCTCTCGCTCTCGCTCTCGCTCTCTCTAGTCTAACCCGCCGGCGGGTTTACTCGCTCTCGCACGCGCTCTGCGGCGCGGGGGCGTGGCTTGCCTCTCTCTATCTCTCTCTCTCTCTCTCTCTCAAAACAAACAAATTCCTGCTGCGCCTGCGTGCATATGTGTGTGTGTGGCAGACGCACAAGAACACACACACACGCAAGCGCTGTAAGCTTTAAAATTTTTGATTCTTTCATACTTTTTTTTTTAATTTACATTTTCTTGTGTTTTCATTGAGTTTTTGTTATTATTACTTTTTTTGTTGGTGGCAGTTGTTAGAAAAAATGCCATTTGGTAATGCGGCGCATTTATAACAGAGTATAACAGTTTGAAATGAATGTATATATGTGTGTGTGTATAACATAGTTCACATAAGCTAAACAAAACACGAAATTTCAATTTAATGAATTAAAAAATTTGTGATTATTTTAAATTGTTTTTTTTTTTTCTTTTTTTTAGACTTCATTAATTTTTTCAATATTAAAACAATAATTTACTAATATTATGAACAATTCGCCTTTTGTGCAACAAATCAAAATAAATTATATAGAATAATATTTGAGTTTAAACTATAATTTTTGTATAGATTTTACTCAGAATGCGGATGTGTGTGTGTGTGTGTATGTGTGGTAGAGCTTATTTTGTATATAATAAGTTTTTCTTTTATTTTTTGTTATAAATTTGTAATTGTATTTTTTTTTTTTTTACTGTAAAAAACATTCAGATCTCCAATGATTATTTTTAATGAGATTGTTTTTTTTTCTGGCAGCATGTTCCGCTATAAAGAAATATATATATATATATATATATATATATATATATATATTCTGTTATACATATATGTATGTCAACCAGTACTCGTAGAAAAAGTGTTATATGAAATGCATTTCTATATATTTGTTGTTTGTTTTTTTTTCCCTTTATGGTTTATCAGATTTTTAAAGTTTTGAACAGCTCAGTGCGACGAGTTGTGGAAGGTTTTACTTTGTTTAGGTTTGTTGTTGTTGTAGTTGTTGTTGCTGGGGAACATGCCGCAACTTGTGTACACCAAAAAATTAACACACACATTACACAAATACATATGTAACTGTTCATTGCACAACATACAGAATTCATATACGTAATTTAACATATTTGTAGCCCCAACCCCCACCCCCCAGATTACTCCCCCTGCAACCACTACGCCGCTCTCTCTCTCTCTCCTTCTCTTCCTCTCTACACAGCTGAGCTCAACTCAATCTGCATTTCTTCTCTCTTGGTTTTCTTTGTTTTTGTTTTTTTTTTTAGTATAGGGCTTTACATGGGTATTTCTTTTAAACATTTTCAGTTTGGTTTTTGTTTTTTTTTTTTTTTTTTTTTTTTAATTTAAAAAAATATTTTTTTTTTTTTTTTTTATGCTGAGCGATTTGTTTGTTGTTGTTGGCATGCGAGCTGCGTTGTTGTTGTTGTTGATGTAGTATGCTTGTTGTTGTTGATGCTGGACCGGCTTAGACGGACAGTGAAACGAAACTGTTATACTGCGTTATGTTGCGCTTCAGAATATCCGCACAGGGTCCCAAAACGCGTTCAAATCTGTAAAGAAGAAAAGTGAAAGTGTTTAGATTATATTAGATAGGTTGCTTATATATGTATGTATAAACATGGCTCTTCACATAACCAACTTAAAGTTCTTCGTATCTATTTTTCTACTACCGACCACATCAAATACTTCTCATACACCACAGAGTTACTTCATATTAATATGCATATTAAATCAAAATCTTCATTGGAGGGCAATAATACTACACTGTATATAATTATAATTCTGACTGAGTACAGAAATTTAAGCAATGAATGTGCATCAATCATTAGTCAGTCAATCAGTCACTGCAAATAATTATAACAGTTTAGTCTCCTAGCTTTGATAGCCTTCGGGCAGTCATCAATCATCAATCATGACAGACTAGACTACAAATATTTATAATTTAAAATGAAGCACCTAAACTACATGACGTCTAATAGCAATTTTACATTTTGGACTCTACATTAATCAATTATCTAGCAATCAATCAACCACTGTTTACCTCGCTCTGTCCAGCTTGACACATTTGAGCGGGCCGCGAGCGACAACAGTTGCTGCGCGTGGCCGGTCCAGGAGCAGGGCAATCTCGCCAAAGTAATCGCTGGAGCCCAGGCGACCCACCTCGGCGGGCTCCTCGCCCTGCTAGAATGAAACAATGGATTATAGTATGTCATCAATTTGTGTCTGGGCTATGCCCGCAGGACACTCACCTCGGAGCGCTGCTGCAGGACAACGGCACAGCCCTCGAGTATGATGTAGAAGTCGTCGCCGGCCGCGCCCTGTTTGACAATCGTTTCGCCGTCCTCAAAGGAGCACGTCTCCAGGGAATCGGCAACGGTGAGCCGCTCCCACTTGTCCAGGCTCTCCAGTATGGAGACACGCGACAGGAACTCCTCGTACATCTTACGCTTGCGTATGGTTGAGCCCATCAGGATGCGTCTGTAGCTGTCGCGATCGATGCCCCACAGCTTGACATCGGTCTTGGCGCGCACCGTGGCGGCGCGTGGTGTGCCATAGATGAGAGCCAGCTCACCGAAGCTGCCGCCCTCGCTGATGGTGGTCACCAGTTCAGAGTTCACAAAGACCTGAAAATACATGTATAACAGTTAATACTCGCTCTCTCCCCCTCTCGCATTGTCATGGCTACTCACCTCCACCTCGCCCACATCGATGACATAGAAATTGTCGCCCTCATCGCCCTGCTGTATGATATTCTCGCCAGCCGTATGGTTCACCGGGAACATGGCATCGAATATGTCGGAGCGTTCGCTCTCATCCAAATGGGCGAAGAGCACATTTTTGGCTATGGCCTTGGACAGGGCATTCATTGTCTTGTAATCCTTGGGTACGACTTTTTTAACATAGTTGGTGGCGTCCTCTTCGGTCACCGGCTCGGCGGAGATGCCGCCGCGCCGGCGAACGGGCGGTGCAGCTGTTTGTGGCATTGGACTGAGATCCTCACAATCGTCTGGGCTGATCACCTGTTTGCTGGCATCCAGTTTGACTTGTTCCTGCAACAAATTGAATGAAATTGCATTATTATAACAGTTTGACAGTATAACAGCTTTGGTGAGGCAGTGTTCTATTCATATGGACAACTTTTTAGCTTTGGCAGCAGTTTGTAAACAGTATAACAATGTATACCACATCAGGTAAGATTGTACTAAAGTGTATAACAGTTTATGCAAGAGAATGTAGTATAATTGGATAATTTATCAAATAGCACTATCGTTTCGCTGTATACAAAAGACAGTAAGATTTCGTATAACAGTATAACAGTTCAACTACAACGACCTTAAGCAATAAATGACATTGAAACTAGGTAAATTCAGCCATTTTACACTTCATGCCGCCCACAGGAATCGTATTACAGCAGCTGCTTCAACTCCAGCTATTTGCGTCACTTGGTGGGCGGGGGGTAGGGGGGCGGTGTGTTTGCCGACTTTTGCTGCTATATGTCAAAAGTCAGTTTGATGTGGGCGAGCAGCAAAGCTTCAACAGCGTCGCCCCAGTCCCGATTCCAGCTGCTCGTTTATCTATTTTTGGTAGCTCAAAGTTCGCTTGCGACAAATGGAACAAATCACGCAGCAGCACGCTCAACGCCTCTACCACCCCGCACGGCTGCAGCTGCTGCAGTGGCTGCTGCTGCTGCTGCTGATGCAGCTAGCAAATTGCATTCGTAAATTGCATTCGGGATAAAAGCAAAAACAACTGATGTTCATCTCGGCAGCTTTTAATAACTGCTGGCAGCGGCTGACGTCAACCGAATGCACAGCGCGCAGATTAAGTTGCATTTAAGTGCCGCGAGAGCGAGAGAGAGAGCAATAGTTGCTCTACTTTGTGTCAAAGGGCGAATGACTGTTAATTGACTGTGTATAACATAAATTGCCATATTGCAGTTTGTGCCGCTAAGTAATTGCATATTCTGTATAACAGTTGAGTTCATTTTTGTCATACGGATGATAACATAAGTTTAGGTTAGGTAGACTCGTAGACTTCACATGTATTACTAGCTTATTTGTTAGCACTTAAACATGTGTCTACTTTCAATTAAGCCTAGATTAGTCATGTATAACAGCTTTTTACTTGAAGGTGACATTTTAACAGACTCGTAAAAGGTATTTAAGACAGCATAACAGACAAATGAATAAGTGGCAAATGACATATTAGCTATATTATGACTGTATAACAGTATACAATTTAAACATTCTCTTAAAAGCCCAGTATTAATGAGTTACAAAATAAGTCTAACAGTTGAAACACAAGTGTATAACAGATATATAACAGTTATGGGCAAAATACAAGCGATATAACACTTGTATAACAGCATAATTTATAGTAATTAACTATAAATTAGCTATAATAGAGTGATTATCACTAAGTAGTATAGCGGCGCCTTGCAGCTAGATAAGACATTCAGCGTCTATTCAGTCTCATTACAAATTGCTTATAACAGTTTATGGTATTCTACATAACATCCTATCCCAAGCAATCTACTGCAAATAAACAACTCGAGATACGCTGTCAA